TCATTACAAAATCATTGGAGAGTGGGATGATCAATAGAAAATAATATCATGCAAAAAAAAAAAGTTTATCTAAAAAAGTTTCATGGCTAAAGACATGCTGGAAAAAATTAGAAAAAGGATCACTACGCTTATTCGCTTGTTTCGAATGAAGCAAACACAATTAGAAAGTGATACGTGTTGCTGGACGTAACAATGCAAAATTGTGGACGGCCATCTGGCACTATATATGTTGAACCTGAGCTCTTGTACCCCAATGGTAAAAAACTCACAAAAGAAAAGTTAAGTGATCTTTTTGAACTAATACAATTCATACCACTTTATCATCATGCCTATTTTCTTGCTTTTAAAGGTAATGAGGAGGCAACTGATTTGGGTCTAACTGGTGATTCTGGTGACTAAGACATAAAGTAGTGCATCTTACATATATAAAAGAATCATTAACAAGTCATAGACAAAATCCTTTTAGCCTAACCAAATCTATTAACAATAATTTCAAAAATTTGGAGTGCCAAAGTTACCTAAACTTTTTTTTATTGCAGAACACAGTAATATAGTGTCCTGATATTTTAGTAGATATACCAGTGTATAATAGATACTATTCTTCTGATAATCACACTTTTTCCTGTTATTCTTTTATAAAGATCCTTAAAGTTTTTCCCGTTTACTAAAAATGATATATAAATAAATAAATAAATATATATATATATATATATATATATATATATATATATATATATATATATATATATATATATATATATATATATATATATATATATATATACAAATACATATGCATTAATTTTATATGCCTTTGCCGTCTCAAAAAAACTCAAAAAAATCATATTTCGTATCCTCCACAGTAAAGGCTAACTCTTGATTGCAAAAGGTTATTGAATTAACTTATATATGCGTTCCTACTATTTACAAAAATCACCTTACATAAAAAAAAGCCTTGACTACCCAATTATTCAAAACAATTAATGAAAAAACTAGAACTTTTTGTGACAATCGAGCAATACTTGTTAAATCCAGCTGTAAAATGGTGCGTATATTCATTAAGGTATATTTATACGGATGAGAAAAGGATATTTTAATATTCACAGTATTTAAAAACTCACAATATTTAAAACAAGCATGGAAAATTGGTTGATGAATGGCAAACGATAGTCTCATAAAAACACACTTTCCTTCTTTTATTATAAAAATTCGACTTTTTCAAGGATCCTTTTTAAATATGTGAAAAATAAAAAAAAGGCCAAAAGCTTAAACGAGTCCAGAGTTAACTTGTTTCAAATGTTTTTGAGGCAAAATTTTATTTTCAGAAAACAACAAATATATGAAATAAAATAATAAAACCATGTTGGAATTTCCTGTATCTTTCAATAACAGTCTTCAAAATCATACAGCTTATTAAAATAAATTAGGTTTCTTATGATTTTTTTTCTAATCTCCATCTGATTCTGTGAAAAGAAAAATCATAAACATCATCAATAGTATTTGATACATTACTTTAAACAACAACAGCTTGATCTTTGGTGTTTTGTTGGTCATCCCTTATGTATATGAAAGATTTTTTAGAATTGTAAAAATGCTGATTTGTCCTTTTTCTCTTCCTTCTATACATCTTCTTATTCCACTTTAAGCCACAATTTAAATATAATTTTAAATAGATTTGCAAAATAAACAAATTTTCAAAGAAAATCAACATTCGAATTCACAACACTTTTTACTTTTTCGAACTATAACAGCCTATTTTTTCAACTTATGGCTTAAAGCTGCGCTAAACCAAAACGGGCTAAAATTCACAATAATTTTTAGCTAATGAAAAGATATTTAAATAGTTATTGACCTAAAAATAATTGAAATTGTGTTTTCTATGGGGGTTTCTAGAGATAAATTTTCTTTTTAATGTTATAGTTATTATCATATTATTACTATTATTTTATTTTCGTCATTGACACATTTTACAATGTTAATCTTACATTCAAATAAATTTATACAATTACAAGTTAACTGGGGCAAGAAGAAGACAAAATGTGTTATCATCAAGCCCATTCGTGAAAATAGAAAAAATAAAATAAAGTTTTATAACTCCAATAATATATAAAAGAGTGAAATTAAATTAAGTTTACAAAAACAAATTAAAAAGTTTGAAAAAATAAAAAAATTTTAAAAATAATTTTTAAGTTTGACAAAACTAAAAAGTATGAAAATAATAAAAAATAAAAAAAGTTTAAAAATTTTAAAAAAATAACTTACAAATCAGTAGATATGCGTATACATATCCAATAAACTATATAATATATATTTAAATATACAAAAGATTTTGAATTTAAAAGATTCCGACCATTTTATAAATTTAAATTCATCTATTTATATTTTTATAAAACAAAATTAAAGTAGACAAACAAAAAGAAATAAGACGAATATAGACATATAAATATACAAGAAGGATATATATATATATATATATATATAATATATATATATATATATATATATATATATATATATATATATATATATATATATATATATATATATATATATATATATATATATATATATATATACATATACATATATATACATATATATATATATATATATATATATATATATATATATATATATATATATATATGTATATATATATATATATATATATATATATATATATATATATATATATATATATGTGTGTGTGTGTGTATATATGTATGTATATATATATGTATGTATATATATATATATATTTATATATATATATATATATATATATATATATATATATATATATATATATATATATATATATATATATATATATATATATATATATATATATATATATATATATATATATATACTTCTATTTAAAAAAATTAAAGAATGTACGTATTGTTTAAATTTAGTAAGTGTTTTTATATAGCTCGTTTAAATATATCAATAGACTTTTTTTTTTTCATATTTTTGTCAAGAACCGAGTTCCACAAGCGTGGTCCCACACATGTAATGGAGAAGTCAGTTTATTTGAGTGATGTTAGTGGGATGTACTAATTTTTTATTGAGTTTCTTGTTTTATATTTATGACTAATAAGAGAAAAGTTTTTATAAAAATGTTTTGGAATTAATTCGTTTTGAAGAGTTCACATAAATAACAAGTTATGATAGATGTTTAATTCGTATACATTTAGGGCATTTATTTCCTAGAGTAACGGCTCGGCACTATTGTATACATCCATGCCCAAAACCAATTGACTTGCTTGCTTTTGTTTTGTATAAATAGTTTTTAGGAAAGATGAGTGATTGTTTGCCCAGGCAATATTACAATAGTTAATATTACTATGTATAAACGAAAGATATAAATTTTTAAAAAATATTTTATTCAAAAGAGGTTTAGTCTTATACATTATCCCTAAAGTCTTTGAGACTTTGTTCTTAACTAGCTCTATTCTAAATTATTCCAAGTATTTTTGTTGAAAACACTCTTTGTATTTTAATATTGTGAATAGTTAATTCTGGTAGTGTAAGTGGAAGGTTCTCGGATTTAGATGGTTTAGCAAACAAAATATATTTTGTTTTTTCAATATTCAATGAAAGTTTATTTGCTATAAACCACTCATTAAGATATTCTAGTTCTGTGTTTACATTACAAAAAATATTTTTTAAATTTGAGTTAGAAAAGAAATCATTAGTGTCGTCAGCAAAAATAATATAACTAAGTATTTTTGATGACAAATAAATATCATTAATATAAATTAAAAACAGCGAAGGTTTAAGTGTTGATCCTTGTGGATTGGTCCAAGTATTGATCCTTGTGGATCCTTGTATATTTGTTATTCCGTTTTTACAATATAATGAGAGTGGATAAAAATTGATACAATTTATTAAGTAAGCAAATACTATTAACATTTAAAAACTAGGTATCTGAAAAAAAATCAGTAAAATCTTATTGTCCGAAGTAAAATAGTGTAAATAAAATGTTAGGTTATAAAGTAACTATAAGTACAACATAATAAAATAAAATATACATACACATATCACTTTGGAGTATAGGCAATAAGGTTTAATAAATATTTCTAAAGTATATAATATACTTTTGTTAAATTTCGATAATATGGGAGAGTAAAAGCTTTTTCAGGTTAATTTTAAAAAGATGCAAACAAGTAAGTAAATCAAAATCAAAATTAGGCAAAACAATTTTATTCCAAAAGTCGGGTACAATGTCATATTGAGTTACCTAAGTAACAGTTTATATCATTTTAATAGAGTTTGCTTTAAATCCAAATTTTCAGACACTATCACAAGTAATGAAGGAATAAAATAGCTAAAAAAAAATCGAAAATTTTTATGATAAAAAAAGATGTTATTAGTGGAGGACCACTTTAAAACATCCTGTAAAGGAGACGTTAATCTTTGAAAGACTTATTAAACACAACACACTTGCCCTCGATTAGAAAGTTAATAACTAACAAAACAAAAAAACACATTCCTTGTATAAATTTATATGCGATTATTTATACCATATAATATTTCCCCAAAAGAGATATTATAGGTATCTTTCTAACTTTATAATGATATATATACAAAATTCGCTAATTGCCTCATTAGCTAAGGAAATCTCTAAGGTCAATATATGAAGCTTAGAGATGTTTATAATACAACTATATTATTTACATTAAACTACTATTTACAATAATCGCCTCGTGAACATACTCATCCTTTTTGACCAAATAGTCAATATCTTTTGGTTCATTTGGCTCGAGAGGGCACAAATTGTTTATCGCACGTTTCAAGATAACTTTTCCAACTTGAACATTGGCGACACGTACTAACCCATCGTTTCCAGGAAAAACCTCAGTTAGACGACCAAATTGCCAATTGCCTCTTGCAGTATTTGCGGATAAGTTTCCCATTACGGTATTTCATTTTTTTCTTGGTCTAAGCATGGGTAATCAATCTTTCATCCAGCAATGTCAAAAATGTTTTATTAATTATTGGACTCGTTGCCATCTTCTTTTTGGGTTAAATGAAGTAATATCCACTGCATCAGCGGCAAATTTACCACCTAATTGTCCAAATAAAAAATCATTTGGTGTAAGAGGTGTGCAGTCTTTAGGATCACTCAATTGAGAAGTCAATAGTCGTGAGTTTATAATTTTATAACGCTGTAACAAGTTCATTGTCAGTAATAACCGCATTTCGCAGTTGCCAATAAACTGCTCGTTTTGCCGTTTTTATCATGATTTCATGATTTCCTCCAAAATGAGGGACTGCTGGTGGGTTAAAATGCCATTTAATACCATTGTGGCTAGTTGTCTCATTTATTCTTTTCGCCATCAGTGAAACTTCGTAGCTCTTTGTTTGCTAATACAAATTACCTCGACTGTTTGACATCATTTCTTTTTGCGTTCCTCTTCGACTGCTCATCCTAAAAAAACGCATCTAGAAATGAGTCGGGGTCTAACTCAAACACTACTTCAAGGTGAACTGCTCGTAAAGACAAGCAAGTAAACAAGGCTAAATAACGTTTTGCCCGTTTTTTCCCTCTTCCATGAATGGTTATGAACGGACCACCATAATCATCAGCACACCTTTCAAAGGCCTTCATACTAAACTGCAAACGTTTTGTTGGTAATAGTGCCATAATCTGTGTTGCTGACTTTGCTTTTCTTTGCTTGCATTCTGCACACTCCACTTCCCATTTTTTTTATCTCTTGTTTTTTAGATACAGCCCAATGCTTTTTAGAAAACTCCGCCAAGATATGATTTACACCACATATATGCTGTCTTGCTTCGTGACAATCTTTTACGATTAACTTGATTATGCGGTTGTGTGTTGGCAAAATAATTGGGTATCTTGTATCGAATAATAGAAACTCAGCATTTTTTAATCGACTGTACCATCTTATCATTTTATTTTCATCTATTTGTGGCGATAGTTTTAATTAGCAAATAGGTTTTGAAGTTCCGTCATTATTTAATAATTGATTGTACTCTTCCGCGTATGTTTTCTTTTGAGCATTTATAATTAATTCTGTTTCTGCATCGTCAATTTCTTCCGTTAAAAGTGTTCCTGATGATGAACATTTTTCAATACAGTTATTTTAGAACCTTTGTACCCAGGCTAAAACTTCTCTAACTAGTGGTAGCGTGTTGGTTCCAAACGCCAGTCATTGCTATTTTCTTCGGATTTAATAGCCATCAAAGTATTCTTTACTTCTAGAATTATTTTGTCTTCGATTTCTTTAAATTCATTTGTTAGCCATTTGGACTGTTCTTTTTGGATGATATCAGGCCCAGTCCATTATAAGTTACTTTTTTGAAAATCGTTTATTTTTACTCCTCTAGATGACAAATCCGCAGTGTTTCGTACGTAAGGTATTGTTTTGGATTTGAATAAGACTGGATTTCGCCAACTCTGTTTGCAACGAAGGTCTCGAATCTTCTACTTGGATTTTTAATCCAGGATAACGTATTCAAGCTATCCGACTAGAAAATAAAATTCTCCATTTTTATTGTGCAAGGTAAAGCCTCAATGACGAAGAGCGCAAGTTTCAATCCTAACCCTGCACTTATTAAATCTAATCTTGGAATGCTAACTGAATTTAATGGAACGGCACGAGTTTATGACGAAACAAAAGAACTTGACATTCCACCAAATTCATAAAATAACAAACTTTCAAAAGGTAGTTTTTTTTAGATTCAGCTCAATTTGCAAGTACATCTCTGTGATATCACCCAGTAAAGCGACTGCGTTTCTTTAGAACCGCAACAGAACGACACAGAGATCTCGTTGCAGTTTTGGTCCTTGATAGATGACGTCATTCAGCGAAACATTTTGACATTTTGCTGCAGCGTCTAAAAACGATTTTGACTTTTGCGGTCTCTTTTTCCTACTAGTAGGAAATAGAGACCGCAAAAGACGCTGCTGCAAGATGCCAAAATGTTTCGCTGAATGACGTCATCCATCAAGGACCAAAACTGCAACGAGATCTCTGTGTCGTTCTGTTGCGTTTCCAAAGAAACCGCACCTCAACGTTGTAAAGTATACTTTACAACATTGAGGTGCGGAGGATCCATTGATTACTGTAATCATTTTTGATTACCTTTTTGATATAACTTTTTGTTAAGTACTTCGTATTGTTTCTTTGTAAATTTCCGTCACCTCTTGTGTTCGTTTAAGCCGTTTTTCCGAACTAATCATCCAATTTACTGCCATTTCATAGTTATTTGGTAACAATTTTAGATCCTCTTTTTAAAGAATGCCAATTTGATGTCGCTCATCAACATAAATAATCGAATTTTGTGCTTGATAAAGAGCCTTTTTATCTTCAACACTTACAGCTTGGGTTTCTAATATTGGATGAACATTTTCGATTTCCCAAAATGTTTTTAGTGTTTCATTAATTTTTTCAAACTTCGGAAATATTTGTAGCAACGTCCTGGTGTAGAAAGTATAATAATTTTGAGTACGTCTAAGCGCCCCAACGCATGTCTATCCCAGTGGCGTAAGTCGTGCTATTGGATTTTCAGTGCGCCCTTCAACTTCTGTTTTCGATGAATGAAGCTCCTCGTTATCCAATCCAAGAAAAATATTTACAATTGGTTGTTGCCTTAATCTGCAAAATGGTATAGTTTTTAGGTGACTCCAATGGTTTTTATATTTATTCCAATTTATCTTCTTTTTCAATTTACCATCAATGCTTTGCAACTGAAATCTAACAGGCATTGTTTGAAACGTGTCTACTCTACCATTGAGTACATTAATCTTAATTTCTTTCATTACTCCTTGTAATCCAAGTTCTACAGCTACATCCCTGTTTATATAGGTTTGGGTACTAGCATCATCCGATAGAGCGTTGACTTTTGTAAGCGTTGTTTATAACCAACTTTATCGATGCCGTTTTTATTTTTTATTTTTTGACCAATCCTTTTAAGTTTTTGTTAACGTTCGCCATCATTCCCTATTGTAACAATGCTTGAAGCGTCATCTTACCGAGAGTAAAGATACTCGTGCGTCATTTCTTCTACTTCCATGTAGGCAGACTCGATTACTTCAATTTCTTTTATGACCTTGGTCGCCATTTCGAGTTTGTTATTTATCCGATACTCAACTGAAAGTTGAGTTGTCTTTGTTGCAGCCGATTGTGCCGCATTAAGCTTTTCCCAATATTCGCGAACATTTTTTCTGCTCGGAAGGTCATGATAGAGTAATTCCATTAGCGTTCTTCTCGTTCTCGTTAACGTCGCTTTTGTCTTCGCTTTAGCTCGTTTTATTCAATCCATCTAAATATGATGAACTTCTTCCGACTCGCTTTCACTTTTAATATCGCTCATTGTTGTGTTCAATTGCTTGAAAACTACCCTCTGCTACAAAAATGTTCGTGTCAAAGCGCGTAGGGTGTATTAAACTCAATAATAACACGTGACTTATTATGTGAATTATTTCAGCATTATAATTCGATTAGAACGTTAATAACTAACTAAACAAAAAAATGCTTCCCTCGTATAAATTTATACACGATTATTTGTACCATCAATATTTCCCCAAGACAGATATTATAGGTATTTTTCTAACTTTATAATTACCTTACAAAATTTGCCTCATTATCTAAGATAATCTCTAAGGTCAATATAAGAAGCTTAGAGACATTTATAAAACAACTAAATTATTTACATTAAAATACTATTTACAATAGTCGCCGATACCACGATCGATATAACCAGTAAATAGCGCCAATATGGCTATAACGAACTAAATAACATTTATGTGGCGACTATTTAAACAATAGTGTTTTTTTGTTATTGAACGAAATTTTTGTATAAATAGAGTTTTGTTGTTGTTGTTTTTCAGATACAAAAATAAAATGAATATAAGTAATATAGTTAATGTAAAAACGGTTAAGATCTTAAAAATATAAGTTATAACACATATTCGTTATTATTTGTGATCTCCATCGGATCAATCATGTTTTAAACAATTTAGGATGTGTATCTGCATTTTGAATAAAGTTTAAAAAATTTTTTTTTTTACTTGAATCTTTATGATATTCTGCTTTAGTTTTCGGTAGTGAAGTTATTAACAGGTCATTTTTACTTTTCTGGTAAGGTTATAGCAATTGGATTGCCTATCTCCTCGAATTCTAGTTTCTTTCATTTTAGGCAATTTTCTATTTTAAAGATCTTTGTCTTGCTCATGTAGGATTATTCTGCAGGTACCACATATACTGAGAGGATATTTGCAGTTAACTTTATCAAAATCTGATTTTATGAACATTTTAGTTTGTTAAGTTATCTTTTCTGTTATTGTAAACTGTTGTGACTTTTTTTTGAAATATTTTTATTTCCACATGGAGCACACGTTTTTAATCTAGATTCATTATGATTTGCTGATTTGTTTCGCATATCTTTCAAAGTATAATACTCAATACTTACGTATTAAAAACTTAGTACATAATTTGCCTAAAAATAAAGATGTCAAAGCTAAAGAATTTATTTTTAATGGATTTGCAGTTTATATAGGCAAATAATTGATAAAACTGTTGCGCGTGTAACGTAAGTTAAAAATGGAATTGCCCATATATTACTTATTCCGTTACCTCAAGCAGTGGACAAGGAACTACGTCATGTAAGAGGTGATAAAAGATTAGATTTGAATAGTTTTTATTATTTTTATTTTATCATAATAAAATTTTTTAATTTTTTATTTTATCATAATAATATTGTAGAACTTTGAACGTTGTCTGGTTTTATCAACAAAATTTTGTGATATGAACAAAAACTATTATCGCTAGCATTGTATATTTAAAAAATAATTCAAAATGTTCAAAATGTTAAATATAGTATAAAAAGAAAGACAAATTTTTGTAAATAATACCAAAATAATTTACTAAACAGGAAGTATGATTTAGTTTTTTTAATACCTAAATAAAAGTTTTTCTTTTCATTGCGCGTAGTTGGAATATTTTCAATAAACTTTTTGTCTCTTTGAAAAGTAAACAAAAGAATTTTAAATCAATGGTTTTTAGACTGATTATAAAAGTTAAATATAGGATTTTCATTCATTTATTTTATACGTTAAATAACTGCATTTTTAATAGTACCGTATGAATATATTTGAGTTAATTGGTTTCGATTGTTTGATTCACTATTAATCAAATTTAATAATTTTTTATTTTTTTAAATACATCTTTTTCATCCATTACAAATCTAAATACTAAAGTTTACACGTTTATTATTAGAGATGCTTATGTAACCATCAGTAATGGAACAATTGTAAGTATTGAAAAATCTATATTTTTATTCGTAATTAAGTTTTCTCGTAAATTTTGTAAAAAGATTGAGTCAAGGAACTAATCTAGAATTCAACAAAAAAACAATCAAAAGTTGTTTCGGACAAGTTTTATACAACATTTACCTTTATTTTAGACTCACGTGATTTTGATTTGCAGATAGATGGATTTTGGTAATGCAGGCCCGTATCCATTTCCTTGAAAACAACATAATTTAAGTAATGAGGTGAAGACATTAAATTTATATTAGAAATTTTCTAAATATAAGAATTTTTGTTTATTGTAATATTTCGGTTTAAATGAACAAATCGTTATAAAGTTGTTTTATAAATGGTATATATGTTTAAAAACATATAGAAGTTTAAAATATTTTCTCTAGTTTTGACGCTATAATGCTTGGCTTAAAAGAATTTTAAAGGATCACAAATCTAACCCTGATCTTGCACGATTTTTGATGTAAATTTTGTCTTTCTTTTTCATCTTGTTATTATGTTAGTAATAAAGTTTTTTTGTCTCAAAAAACTGGTTTACTAACATAACTTAATGCTAATTTTCTTTTTATTCTACCAAATTTAATAAAGTTAAAATGTTTAAAGATTATGCTTTTACTACAAATTCATAAACTTCAAATATCACAATTTTAAAAACGATCATAGTAATTTTTTGGTTCAAGGTATTGTTATGTTCTAGTTTTTCCTTTAATAAAAACTTGTGCATACTATTAACCATTACAAATATACGTTTACGACTTTTTGAACGTTCAAAAAATGTCTTTTTTAAGACCATATGTTGGCTGGTTCTAAACTGATTTTTAAGGATATGTGCAGGAAATACCCTCACACACAAACACACTCTCACACACACACACACATGTTGTGTTACACTATTGTGTAATGTTGTTAACATGTTTTTAGTCTTTATTATTTAAAATTATAAACGGTTTAAAACCTTTTAATATTTAAATTAAACTTTGAATCATAAAAAAACCAAAGCATTTTTATTAAATAAAACTTTTGCTTACCACAAACCATTTCAAATATACATTATCAAATAAAAATGTTTTTTTATTACATATATTAAGAGGTAGTTACCGAAATCAAAAAGATTGCCCTTTTTTTTAAGTACGCAAAAAAACAAGAGAAAAATTTATTGAAAATGTCTTATCGTTTAAAAATAACTGGTAATGGTATAAAAATATCTTTTTGTACTGTGAACTTGAACTAGTTATTCTTGTTATGTTACGTTTGGTGTATTAATATATACTAAGTTAACTTTAGGAAAGAAATACTTTTACTTACTTATTTTACACGATTACTCATTATCTCAAAAGAGATATTAATAATTTATGACGGAAATAGGTGGACGTTAACGACAAAAGTTTTAAGAATCATATTAATGTTGTAATAAATGCGTAGACTATAAACTTTACTTAATGACATAATGACACCTTAATTATAAAGTTATCTAATGCAATAAGTTTTCTAAAACTAATATCAAATGGTTTGTTTAATTATTTTCTTGATGTAATAACTGAGGTTGTGTACTGTTCAGATACAAGTGTTGTTTGAGTCGAGGCGTCAATCAGAGGAACGTATCTGCGAATAGCATACCCAGCAGGAGGTTGGTAAGCAGAAATATCCGATGCATTAGGTTGAGCATTTACATTTTTTGATTGCAACAACTTAGTTATTACTGGATAAGTAAAAAAGTGTTCATCGTTTTTAGTTATTTCGGTTGAGTTGTACTTTTTCCTTTGGTCTAATTCAATTTGAGCATCATATAGCGATTCTAAAACCTCGCTTAATTTTATAACTGAAGGTTTAACAACAGAAGCGCTGACTGATTGAGGTACATAAATTTTTGAGCGTGTGTTAAATTTAAATTCAGTTGCAGTTTCAATAGGTTTTAGTTTCGTTTTCGTAAAATATTTTTCAAAAAATGGAGTTTTTTGTCTATTGTATTGAAAATGTTGATTTGTTTGCAAAGAATGTTCAAGTGAAAAAAAAGAATAATTGTTTTTGCTCTCGTTATAAAAACTGTCTTCCAAAAAGTTTGTATCATTATATGTTTGATTTTTTTGACGCATTTGGTTATAGTCATTAATAATCTGGTCCTGAAACCTATGCTGTTCTGATAAAACATCCCTTTTATTTAACATAAAATTGTCATACTTAATTATTGGACAAAAATTTTTACTGTGCGAACTTTTATTAACATTTGTGGTGTTGCTGAAATCTAAAAGTTGTTTCTCGTTGGCATATGAAGATACATGCAAAGTATGTTCATTGTCTAAATCAATACTGGGGTTGAAAAAGTTACATTTCTCTTCACGATAATTATTTTTGCTGTAACTATTGCTAAACAATAAACTGTTAGGTGTTTCGAAAATATTCAGCTTTTTGTCAATGCTGAAAGGCACCTCTGGTTCATTGAGCGGCGATGGACCTACATTTACGTTCGTTTGACCTTGACGTTTCATACTCCTTTTGATTGTGTCAACCGCTCTTCTCATTTCAGAATTTTGAATAAATTTATAAACAAATCTACGTCCACTAACCTAATAAGAAACAAAAAAAAGTATATTATAATATAAAAAAATAATTATTATTTATTGACTTTCCAAGCATAAAAATTATAAACTATAAAAATATCTCAAAAATTTAAAAAAATATATTTTTTAATTGAATTACTGCAAAATGGCAAAAAATTTGTACATCTATTATGGCTAAGTGTACGTACACTTAGCCATAATAGATGTACAAATTTTTTGCCATTTTGCAGTAATTCAATTAAAAAATATATTTTATACTTATATATACCCATCGCTTTTAGTTATTTAGGAAAATAATATACTCATCAATATACCCATCGCTTTTAGTTATTTAGGAAAAGTGCTATTTTTTATTTTGATTTAGTTCAAGTTAAGCGACGAGTCTAAGAGTTAGCTTAACCTTAATACTGAACTATTTGTTTTTTGGAAATATATGAAAGGTTGATTTCAAAAAAGACCCTAATCTATATTTATTTACTCGTTAAGCATACGTAATCTTGAGGGTTTTAGAAACCTTAGCATCAGTGCTATACTTATAAGTTAGTTCATATGTTTTACAACATTTTATACTATATTTACTTTATATCTATTAATTTTATGTTTTAGTAATAATTATTAATATGAGTTACGTGTTTTACATCAATGCACAGTTTTGCATCAACGCACAGGCCAGAGATCGGCATAAATGACGAAAATGAGTATTTGAGAAAATAAGGAATTTTTTGTTTTTGCTAAACTTATAAAATAAATACCCCACAATAAAAAATCTATCGTTTAAATATTTTTATTTTTGTTTTAGGAATCCTCGGAGAGTTTACAAGCTCGTCCATTTAAAAAACGTTTTTTTTTTAAAAAAAGGAACATAATCTTAAAATTGAATTTCACTTAGTAAGCGCAGTTTTTTTTAATTTTATTAAAATTTTATAGTCTCAATATCAGAGTACATGCTTTGTTTTAGAAAACTTAACGAATAAAAATAATCTTGCATTTTAAAATTTTTCTTTTAACTTTAAATATGACAGTTAAAGTATTACAAAACAAAATTAAAAGTTACCATAAATGGCTCATGATCTTTTTTGCCCACGCTTCCCCACTATGGGAATAACTTTTTTACAGTGTTTTTATATCGTAGTATTTGAGTTGCATTACAAGATAGAAAAAGAATTACAAACAAGCAATGCATGTTTTGAAACAGATTAACTAGGCAAAGGCCAAAATTCAGGCGCGGCTTTTTCTACTTCTTCGCACAATTTAGGTATAATATTTTTTTTTAACTAAAGTAAAGGAATCATGATGTTTTTCACTATTTAATTGTGTTTTAGCAAGTATTTATACTAAATGCAATCATCTGATATTTTAATTTAAATTAGAGTTGTTAACAAGGTCAAATGTATTAAAACCAAGGACAAGGCCAAGGTCAAGAGTTTAAAGCCAAGGCCAAGATAAGGATTTTCAAGGCCAAGGCCTACACAAAAGTTTTGAAGACCAAAGACTTCAACTTTTGCCTTAAGTTAAGGCCAATTATTAACACAACTGTAAGTAGCAAGTAATGTTACAAATTTTCTTAGTGGATTGTATTCACCTCACTCTTCAATTTACATTTTTACACAATGAAGTTGGTTGTTAAGCAAATATTAAAATCAGAGAAAGATGGTACAATTAATTCAAATACAATGTATACTGGAAAGGAAACATTGCCTTTGATTTTGGACTGCCGACTTAGTAAAGCAAATTACCAAACAGTTCGCATTGGAGCAGTTTCTAAAGGAAACAAATTATATCCAACTTATAATGAAGTAAGGGAAGAAAAGGTATTATGCATACCTTGTTGTGGAATACTAACTACTGATTATTTAGCCTTAGTTGATTTAGCGAGTCTTATTGACCATACTACATACAGGTTGTTAAAAATACTCAACGAATCTGTAAATCTCCTGAGATATCCATTCTTGTCTATATACGCAAAGTAGGATTTGATGGTTCAACCGGCAAATCATTATACAAACAAAGTACAGAAGACGAGATAAGTATCAGTTATGTTGAGGAACAAACTTTGTTTCTATCATGCACCGTTCCATTTAAACTTTTTATTGAAGAATTTGCGAATTATTATGAACTAATGAAAAACCTACTCTTTACTGCCGTCTAGTACAATTTCAATATGTAAAAGAAAGAGCTGAGGTTATTACACAAGAATATATTTCCGTCAAGAACAGCAATTTGACAATAACCAACAGGTTACCGTCAAATTACTGTTAAAATGTTATTACACAAGAGTATATTTTATTGAAGAATAGTAACCAACGATCTTTAACTCCTTTATTGTCCAACATTAGTTAGAATGCTTAATTGTTGGAGGAAATGTGGCTACTATAGTTTCGCTTTTAAATAATTTTTTTCATATGAACAATCTAAATGTTCCTTTTTTAAAAATCTATAATGCAATTTCCACTGAGCTCGGATTGAGCACATTACATGCATGGGTTAGGTGCTTTGAGTTCTTCCTTCATATAAGTTATAGAACTGACTTAGAAAAGTCGCAAGTTAGGTAGAGGATGCTAAAAAAAGGTTTAATTATAGATGTACCAAAAAGAAGCGGTTCAGGTACAACAAATAATGGAAACACGGCACGAAAAGTGTTCCAAAACTATAAAGTGTCTGCTGAAATACCAGTATGAGTAGATCTATTTTTCGAGGAAGCTCAGGAATGTTGAAATAAAAACGTTAAAAATTATAGAGAACACTATACGAAAAAATATTCAAAAAAAGTCACTAATGAAGATGTTATGCGAAGATTATTGTGCAGTTCAGATCCAATCATTATCTCTCTAAGACGAAGTTTGAGATGTATTTAAGAACTTGGATTTAAGAAAGATTGTATTAAACTTTTGTTGTAACTTTTTTTTAATTTTAAGTTTATTTTTATGTATTGTATATTTTTACTCTGATTCTGATAAAATATCTAAAAAATAAATGTTTCTTTCATTATAAAAAATAAATGTTTCTTTCATTATAAAAAATAAATGTTTCTTTCATTATAAAAAATAAATGTTTCTTTCATTATAAAAAGGGATCTAATACGTAACAAACATTTTATTCAATTAATACTTTGAATCTAGGAAAAACTGTTTCTAAAAACAACAAAAAGTTGTCTAAAATGCATAACGCCCTATACACCCTTTTCTATTAGGGTGTTCAAGGTGCCTGCATCTGCGGAAAAAACAATTAAAAAAAAAAATATTTACATCATGACTAGAGTCACTAATAAAAATTTCAATTCCATAACTTTAAAAAAAAAAAGGCGTTACAATTTTTTGTCCATTTTATGTCTTGGCCCATTGTGCAATGTGTTTATATGGCAGATTTTACAAATGTTGCAGATTCTCAAAATGTTGCAAATCGACTTTGCCACAAGTATTTGATTTTGCAAATGTATAAAATAAAATAAATAGTTGTAAAGCAATTTCTTATGAATTTTAAGCAAATTGGCATTCAGTAGGGTTGAAAAGTTATTTTATAATTAATGGGTAAAATTTTATGTCTTATTTAGGCTGCTGTTATGGAAAATTTTATGGTAAAATCTTGTGAGGCAGATCATACAAATTTAAGAAAGCCCTTTTGAAAAACACTTTTTTTGGTATTTTATTGAGTTTTTTTATTATAACTATTATTAGCAACTATGATCATTTATTTTCAAAATTTTCTAAAACTAAACTATCCTGTTATTTGCTAAACATATTGATGTTCATTGCAGTATTTCTCAAAATCTATTAAATTGGCCTACAAATTACTGAAAACTGTAAAATTATATATCTTTATAAATCAATATATTAAAAAATAAGGGGGGAGGGGGAATCCGTAAAAAGTATTTTTTATTTCTTAAAAATAAAAAATAAGGTCCTTAAAACTAAAACTTGTCCGATTGAGTTGTGTAAAGTACCCGACTACTAAATTAAAGACTAAATTTGTCAAAAAATTTTTTAGCAAAGTATTAAAAAAATGGATGATTTTAATTTTTAGTGAACGTGAATAATAGTAAGCAACGTTTACAATTTTCAAAATAAAAAATGATTATATTCATGTTTTTAATGAATTATTGCCATTAACAAATAGAGCGTTTTATATAATAAGCCAATAGGAAAGTTTTGAGTAAATAGCCGAGAGACAAGAGTTGTAGCAAATGATATGTACCGAGCATTTCTCTAACAAAGTTTGCAAAATTCTGAAAAATTCCCATAACCATGTTTTTTTGTTTTTTATTTTTTTGCTTATTCTAATCATTTACACTTTAAACGTTTGACCACTGTTTAACCATTACAATTGGATACAAATTTTGGTAAGTTCTAAATCAATATAGTGATGTTTGCAAAAAAATGCCAAGTCTTCTTCAGTAATGTACGTACTCCGGGGATAACTTAATGCAAAACAAATGTTTTTAAAACGGGAAACCAGATTTTCCATCGAAAACAGCATTTAAGCATTAGTTGATATTTCTTTAAAAAGTCAAAAAGAAAAAAAAAAAATAGACAAGCAACATTTTTGGTATTGTTGAAAAAAATTTTTGATGCACTATTTGATAAAGTTAAAATATATATTTTATAAGTAACCTACAAGATAGAGTTATCGTTAGAATAAAGCCAACACTTAAGGCAAAACATGTTTATGCACAAAGACTAGGACTTTTGCCTAACTTTAACTATAGAAACCCATTTAGCTTTAAGACATATAACTACGCTGTGATGAAGCCTTTTAAGTTAGCACGCAACACACAAATTAAAAACTATTTTTCCTGTTTTGCATTAACAAAACATTGTTTTGTTTTTTATTACAAAAACAAAAATGATATAGTTTGTCTCATACTTTACTTGCACATTTTGCAATCGTATTTACCAAAAAGTAATATATTTTTCTAAATAAATTATGGTACGGTTTCGCCAATGATAAATATATTAAAAATGACTCTCGATTGTATTATATTTACTCTATACTCTCGGCTGTAGTTTTCGGTAAATTTATTATCTTATCATTTGCGTTATTCGTAACAGAACTGTTTTTTAAGCATTGCAGGAAATGTTTCAAATTTCAAAACAAATTTTTTTTTTACATAAACATTTAGAAATGCTTTTGGATTCTATGTGTTATTATTTTTAAGCACAATTATTTAAATGAATGTTATTAGTTTTATAATCTTAAAAATAATTTTAGATCTAATATTATACACAGTAATATGTATTATGTTGAATTTATGTACTTTTATATAAACTTTTGTTAAATGCAACATATAGACAGAATTATTTTTTATGTTTAAACCTTTAGTTATAAGTTTAAGAATTATTCAAAAGTTAAAAGCGAAAAAATACAGTGTATATATAGTAAAGAGTAGGGGAAAGGTACGTAAGTTGAGCATGTTTTTAGTGTAATAAATTTTGTTCCCAAAAGATTGCAAAAAGATATATTTTTCTTTAATAATAATTTAATCTTTCCTCTCAAATAATATCAATGCTCTGATGGAAAATAAATAAGCTTTTATACAAAAATATTGCGTTATTTTCAACACACCCAATCATCTGGATCTGAATCAGGAAAGCAGTATCCTAAGATGAGCTTTTTTTTAATGGAACTCAAAAAAGCTCAAAAAAACGAAAAATAATTACACAAAAAAGTTAAATAAAATTGTATTTCCAAGAACTTTACTTAAGTAAAAAGTAATTATCTCAACCATAAAAAAAAACATTATTAGGGGAAGATGGGTAGGAGTGAGCCACTTTCTTTAAAATCAATGATATCAAGGAAATTAAAAGTGGAAAAAGTAAAGAATAAGGAGCCTAAGGTGACCAATACAATTAGGTATCTAATTGTAATCCAAGAAATATCAAAATATCTTTAGATTTTTAATAACTTGAACAATAACGCAGGTGTTGCTATTGGTTCACTTCTACCCATCCATGGGTAGGAGTGAACCAAGCAAATGGTAGGAGTGAGCCATTATCTTTGATTACCAGAAAACTAAAACTAGATAATTTCTTTAACAAACTTATTGAAAATTAAGTAAGTAACAAATACTTTATAATTAAGCATAACATAATTAAGTAATAATATAACTTAAATAACAACAAATTTAACACAATTTTAAACTCATTTAATAAATTAAGAAAATTTATTAACTACCAGAAAAATAATTTGTTTTTATTCAGTAACAACTGATTTTGAAAACAAAACAAAAAACTGTCATGACAAATGATAATTTCCAAATATTAAGATACAATAAAAGTATATATATATATATATATATATATATATATATATATATATATATATATATATATATATATATATATATATATATATATATATATATATATATATAATATATATATATATATATATATATATATATATATATATATTTATATATTTTTTATATATATTTATATATATTTTTATATATTTATATATATTTATATATTATTATATATATATATGTATATATATTTATATATATATATGTATATATATATATATATATATATATATATATACATATATATATATATATATATATATATATATATATATATATATATATATATATATATATATACATATATATATATATATATATATATATATATATATATATATATATATATATATATATATATATATATATATATATATATACATATATACTTTTAATATCATTACATATATGTAATGAAAGTAGTATATTAGCATATAGTATATTGGCAATAAAAATAATATTCAGCAAATACTGATATAGACAAACACAACCTCAAATTTGTAAGGGCAATGCTTCCTTTTATTTGTTCCAGAAAAAGTTGGCCGAGGTAGCAACAATTTAACATCCATTCTAGGGATAGTCGCAATATCTGGTGAATTAGGCATCTTAAAAGTATCACCTTTTTTCCGAAGAAAACTGATTGTAACTTCTTCTTTTATAGAGTTTATACATAAAACCTTTCCAACATGAAACAATTTTTTTTTGTTGTTTCAAATTTAACCAATACAAAGTCATCTTCTTAAGGATATATATCACAAGCACACAAATCATCTTCAAGGATTATCAAATCTTTTTCATTTGTGGTTGTCAAATGTTCCAATACAGAATCGTCTTTTTTAAGTAATTTTTTGTTAATCTTCTGTAAATTTGCTTTTAATTCTTTTAAAAGTTTGACTAACTTTTTATTGCAGAGCCTTTTCTCAATCCGATCTCTCTCAGGAGTGTCTGTGGCAATGATAGAGCAACCCTTCTTCCTTTCCTTTTTTTTACAGTTTTTTTTTTTACTACAGATTTCGGAAAACCTCTAAATTGTTTAGGGCTGATAAAGAAATCTGATGATGTTGACAGATCAACCATGGTATCATTAGTAACTAGTTTGTTTGTATCTATAGTAGTAGAGGTAGTCGGGTCTGCATTTGGTGAAACATGTGGGTGAAAAAAATTATCAGAAGTAATGCATACGTGATTTTTTATGCAAGCATTGTTAACATCAAAAGTTCTGTCTGTCACAGAACTGCACATGAAATCAATATCTGTAAACACGTTCCTGTCATAAGGAAATATACCTGTCTTTTTAAAAGCAGCTACAATGTTAGATGGTGTTATAGCTTTCAGAATACCAAGCCCTACAGATGCAGCCACTTGGTAAATTGTAAATGTTTTTCAAGGACTGTGAAGCATCCAGGAATCAATTGCTGCATTATATGCAGTTTTAAATGGCCCCATAATTCCCACATCAAGTGGTTGTAACTTATGCGTGGAATGAGGCGGTAATGTCAAAATGGTCACTCCATGCTCCTTTGCTAAATTTAACACTGCTATAGATAAGTGCGCTTCGAAATTGTCATATATTAATAATGATAGATTTTCTTTTGTACTTGACGAGAACTCGATAAAGTGATTCATAACATCTAAAAAAAGTTCACTGTTCATCCAGCCTGTTTTACATGCAAGTCCGAGAGATCCAGAAGGAGCTCCTAACAATATATGCTCCTTGAAATGCACTCTTGGAAAAATAATTACTGCTGGAAGATATTGTCCAGAAGCACTGATTATTATACATGTTGTGACAAGGGTTCCTCTTTCAGCACTTGTGACTTTGCAGACACTCTTCACACCTTTCTTTGCAAGAACCTAAACATTTAGAGGTTATATATAAGAAAAAATATGCCACAAATAAAAATATACTTATTATTGAAGATTAACATACCTTTTGTGGGTTCTGCACGGTTAATAGTTCCAGTTTCATCAAGGTTAAAAATCCGAGCTCCATTTGCAAATGTTGGTGATCTAGCAAAAAAGTTCTTTTAATTTATCAAAAAATATATTTACATTATGGGCATTAAATGATGTTGCCCTTGAGAGAGAACATCCTTTAGGTGTTCTAAGAGACAAATCTGGATGTCGCTTTCTAAAATTATTCATTCAATCAATACCTGCCATTGAGTCTTTGTGCCACTTCTGTGTAATACTAATTTTATTAATGGTTGGATTCTCAAAAGCTATACACCGATATTCTTTAATTGGAAGGCCATAGAACATTCTTGAACAAGTCAAAATATATTCCTTTAATTCTAATTCCTGCTTGTCTGTAAATATTCTTTTAACATAATAAT